CTTGCTTTGTATAGATTTGCTTGCATTTTGTCTCCCCCATTATTAGAGCATAAACTCCTTGAGGGTAGGTATTGTCTTTTGACTCTTTTTTTTGTATCCTCTGCACTTAGTACAGTTCCTGGCACATAGCAGGCATTTAATGCTTATTGATTGATTCATCCTTGACCAGTGTTATCCAGAAGCTTTGAAACGTGTTTTATTATATAGGAAGTAGATGCAAATCCTGATGTATAGAAAGAGGAGCCTTCCACCTATCATCATGAGGAGTAGAGATAAGTGGATCATATCTAAAATGCGACTCTGGGGTGAAGGATGACCTGGGTTTGGACCTTTGTATGGCAAAAATTATGACAACTTCCAATGTGGTAGAATGGGAAAAAGCCAAGAATGTTTGAGGGGAGGAAGAAAGGCTGCTTAGTTTTCTTTTCCTCTGGATGTTTCCAAGTCACTCTTGAATGTTGAGGTGGTTTTCCTCGATTTAGTTGTTTCTCACCAGTCTTTGTAGCAAGGTGATGACCATCAGCCCTGGGATGACCAGGTCACTAAAAAGCCATGGCCACCCCAGTAAAACGTGCAGATGATATTTCAGAACTGTGCTTTGGGTGGTAGTGATCAGGACTGAATTAGAAAACTGCCAAGTTGAAAAAAAGAAAAGAAAATTAAACTTCTTAGAGGGGAAAAAACAAAGAAGCACTTTTCCTCCATCTGTTTTCCTTCAAGAAAAACAACTGAATTCACTTCTTCAAGAAGATAGTAGAGTTTCTGACTTCAGACTTAAATAGTTCCTATTTTTGAAAATTATATCAATGCCAATGGGGGAGGTGTGTTATAGAGAAGTCACTCAAAGTGATATTTTTCATCCATCTTGATTTTTCATTGGAGATTTCCATATCAGAGTATTTAAATTGACAACTCTGAACACAATTTTGCAATGCCACCCATTATTTATTTCTTTATACACATGGACTAGTGAGCACACACAGACACACACAGGCACACAGACACACACCCACAGACACATAGACACATAGAGTCACAGATACAGACACAGACAGACAGACAGACACACACACACACACACACCCCATTAGTTTCTGCTTAGTAAGCCCTAGCTTAACCTTAATGAAAGTAGGAAAGACTGAAGAGGCTAAAATTTGACCCTTCATAAATGTCTTGCTCTACAGTGATACAATGTGTTGTGGTGGACATGATGAGCTGATGGTTTTTGAGGAGCTGTGTAGAGCTCCAAGCTGAACTCTAAGAGAATTAGCTGCTAAAGAATGGAATCTGAAAATAAGGTGACCAAAACTATGGATGGGGATGTGGAGGGAGAGATGAGAAGAGGTTGCAAAGTGGAGGCTCGTGTCAAGTGATTGTTCTAAGCACTATCTTGAAACTCACTCTCTCAAGAGCCTTCTCTAAGACTGAAGTTGGACCTTCAAGACTTGAGTGATCATCCCTATTTTGGAGAGGATGTGTGTGTGTGTGTGTGTGTGTGTGTGTGTGTGTGTGTGGGGAGGTGTTTTTGTGTTTGTTTTGGGTTTTTTGTTTGTCTTTTTTTCCTTTGTTGAGAGGGAGTGCTTTGTTTAGGGGAAAGCATTGGTTGAATAAGGAACCTTGGTCACTGCTTGGGGCTATATCTTGTTAACTGCATCCATTGAAGAAATGGATTTTAGGTTTGTTAGTTATTCTCTGGGTTGCTCAGACTATTTAAACAGGAGACTATGGTAAATGGTATGCCTTGAAAAAGGGACTATATTTAACCCACACATCATAGTGTGTGTATTTTTTATGAGTTTTTTGTATTAACTGGTAAAAGAGAATTACCATAACCTTCCATTTATCCAAAGTGTTGAGAATGGTCTGTGCTGGTTCATGAAAACTACTCTACATACAAGAACATTTCAAAAAGGGAGTTATGCTGTATTAATCATAGCGGCATCGATGTTGATTTTAAAATTCCTATATATGGGTGTGGGATGATTTCTTATTCAGTTTATGAACAGTGTGGTCTGGTGGAAAGAATGTTGTCATGGCAGGTGGAGGTGGGAGGCATCATAGGACTCGGGTGTATTTCTAGTCTTTGCCATTTGTAACTTTGGACTAGTCGTTTCACCTCAGTTTTCTTATATGTAAAAGGTGATGGTTGGACTTCCTGACTTTTCAGGGCTCTTCTAGCTCTGAATCTATCCTCCTGACTGTGAAGGTCAACTTTTATTGATCTGCGACCCTATGGAAGATTCACTTGATGATTAAAAAAGTCGCAGTGCATATTTTGCTGATGCTAAATAATTAATTTCAAACCTAGAAATGTATTAAAATAAAACAGCTACTGTGTTTCATGCACTATGCTATGAGATGCAGAGGCAAAAGTGAAATAATGTCTTCCCTCATGGATGTTATAGCTTAGTGATTGGCACACAATAGCACTTAATGAGATGACAATTCTATTGGAGAAAACAACATATTCATAGAAAATGAAACACAAAGTATATACTAAGTAATTTCTAGGTGAAAGACTAGCAATGGAAGTGGGAAAACAGGATAGGCTTCCTATAGGAGGTGGCAGTTGAGCTGAGTTTTGGAGAAAGCTAGGAATTCTGGGAGAAGTAAGGTGAGAAGAAAGCATATTCCAGGCATGGGGCACAGCCAGCCAAGGGCATGGAGATGGGAGATACAATGCTACATAAAAGGAGCGCCCGTCAGGCTTCTGCTTGATGTGCTTGTAGACTCAAAACTCCTACAGTAACTCCACTGTCCTCTCTGGCCTGGGGTCCACGGCCCACAAGGTGGACAGCACTGGAGCAGAGCCGGGAAAAAAACTAAGCATGAGTTCTGTTGGGGGGATGTACTTCTCTCCTATTTTGTTTATACGTCCTAACCCTTACATCACCAACACAAAAGCAACCAAAATGAAATAGGGAGAGAATGAAGGGATAGGGGCTTGAGGAAGGCAGCAGGAACATGTCCAAGGTTTCCTAAGCAAGTGATCCCATCACACACCATGGGCAATCTTGAACTTTCCTTGCGGAGTGGAAAGTGTGCTGTTCTAACACCTTTTGTTTATTTTAAAAGTGTAACTCAAACAAATGGAGGTGTTTGCACGTTTTAAGGAAGATTAGAAGACAAAGGTGCATGTGTGTGTGTGTGGTGAAATTCAGATGAATTGTGTAGTTTAAATATTTGGGTGATGGGGAGCTAGATGATCGATCAGCAGGCTGGAATGCTTCCCTGGCTTCTGGGATTTGCAGAGTTTAAAAATGAGAAATTCTTGCTTTTTCAGATGAACACGTACTACGAAATCTCCATTGGACTTGGAATGTGCATTCATGTACCTTATTGTAAAAATCAAACAAGATAGCTGGCAGCTTGGAGTAAGAGGCTGCTTCAGCTCTGAGGCTGAGGACACCTGGAAAGGAAAATTGAGATTGAGTCCATTCCTTTAACTGTTCGATAAGCATTGATGGAATAGTGGCTAAAAGCCAGACACTCTGCGGGGTAGAGGGGTATGAAAAAAAAAAAAGGAAACGGTCTCTGCCCTCAAGGCGCTGACACTCTCTAGGGGAAAGCGAAGTGTACATATGTAATCAGATACAGAACAGGCACCAAATAAACACAGGGAGATATGGGGGGATGGGATGCTGTCTTGCTGCTGGGGGTGAGAGCAGGATCTTAGAGTTGGGAAGGACCTTGGGGGCCATTAGTTCAAACTATAGCTGCTCCGATCTCAAATCAATCTATGATACTTTATTAAGTGTTTGTTTGGGATAACAACTCTTCCAGATTGGATAACAACACCCTATGTGTCTTTATTTAAGTGGTTGGGGGGGAGGATGGAGAAGGACTCGATGTTATCTCTTGGTTGTAGAATATGCCCTCTACCAATGAAGGCAGCATCACCTCTGCAGAGTTCTCTGGGGCCCCTGACCACCACCATCATCAACATGCTTATCATCAGCAAACATTTAAGTGCCTACTGTGTTCCAAGCATGCTACCAAGCACTGGGCAGTCAAAGAAAGGAACAGCATAGTTATTGCCTTTAAGGAGCTCACTTTCTAATGAGGAAAACAACATGCAAACAACATTATACTTAAATAGATATATACACACATATACATATATACACATATACATATATACACATATACATACATACATGATATGTGTATGTATGTGCGTGTGTTGCGTGTATATTTATGTGTTCACACGTGCGTGCAAAGGCACCCAAGTGGCAAAGTGGATAAAGCATTGGACCTGTAGTCAGGAAGATAAGCTCAAATCCAGCTACAGGCACTTGTTTAGCTGTGTGACCCTGGGCAATTCACTTAACTTCTGTCTGTTCCAGTATTCTTATCTGTAAAATGGAGATAATAATAACAACTACCTCCTAGGATCGTTGTGCAGAGAAAATGAGAAACTATCAAGTGTTTTGCAAACCTTAAAGTGTTATGTAAATGTTAGCTATTATCTATCTACCTATCTTTGGGTTTGGACAAGAAAAGGCCTCTTGTAGAAGGTGGGATTTGAGCTGACTATTAAAGGATGCTAGGGAAGAGGGGAAGTGGAAATTACACATTTAGTATGTGTCAGAAGTGAGATTTGAACTCAAGTCTTCTTTACTCCAATATTAAATTTCCACCCACTGTATCATGTTAACTTTCTAGTGGTTGATAAAAATATTGACCAGCACAATGATAAGCACAGATCCTTGGGGCATTTTATTTGAGAGTCATTCATTGAGAAACTGTCATGTCTTGTAAGACTCCTTTAGGGAAAAGTGGCTTTTAAGTCTGAATTCTGTGGGCGATTGTTTCAGCTTTCCTCATTCTGCCTATATAGACAGAGCTTTCCTTACTTCCTTAAAGCCCCAGGAGATTTCTGCTAGCTGACTTAGGGTGAAGTGTCTCCTGGCTCAGTTCCTTCTCAGGGTCAGAGTGGGGCAGTCTTGGCAACCTGCTTGGCTGGGGATAGGAACTGACCATGTTCTCATTTACTTTAGGTATAATTCTTTGGAGAGAGCTGATGGAATGAGAAGCCATCATGGAGGCTCAGTCCCACAGTGCCACAACCAGTGAGCGGAAGAAAGTGGAGACTCCCATTGCCAAGTGCCCCACACGGGCAGACGTCAGTGAGAAAGCAGCAGCCTCCAGCACCACATCCAATGGTGAGTGCCCATGGGCTTCCAGCATCGTTGATATTGGCTAAGTTCCCAGTGAACTGCCCATTTGCACCTGAATCTCTCTTCCTTCTATGGAGAAAGAAAGCCAAGCAAAGTAGGGGCCGAGGAGAGGGGGAGGGTTCAATCATTCTTGTTTTGACACCAGATGCAGACTTGTCCTTCCCAATTTTCTAATTGGAGATAGAAATGTGAGAGGTTATTTCTTATAGGAAGTTCCTGTTTTGGCATTTGGGAAATGGTCCTGATTAGTCTGGCAAGAGTCCAAAATGTTTAGCGTTTTACTATCTCTGGCCATCAGAATAATGAGTTTTTCCAAAAGACACAAAAGTTGCGTGGTCACGCAGTCGTTGGCAAGATTTTTTCCCCCAATAAAGTCAGCCACCGTAGAGGAAATCGAGCAGTTCCTGGTTAATTCCTCGCTCTCAGGCTAACAGGGCAACTACTGTCCTGAGGAGTTTATTTTGGAAGCCTTACGTAGGCAGATTTGCATCGCGGTTTGGGGGAAGCTTGCGAATCTCCTCAATTGTCCTTAGGAAGCGATGGCTCCCCCAGTTCCTAAGTGCTGGCTTTTAATGTTTTAATTAAACTTTCAAAAGAAGTCAGTCAGTGCCTTAATGCTAGCATTGGCCATTGGAAATAAATTCCCGAAGTCTTTTGGATAAACATTATGGCAATCGTGTGTGATTAACCCCAGGACTTCCTCAGCCTCTTTTGTCTGCGTGGGAGTTTGGTTTTCTGGGATTTTAAGAGGAATGCCTCCACCCCCACCCCCACCCCCACCCCCACCTCACTGCAGGTTAGAGCACGCCTTAGGATCAGGGAAGATGAATCAGGGAACCCTCGGATTGGAGGAGTGGGGTGGGAAGCTACCTCAGAGGACACCAAGTCTGACATATTCATTTTATGGATAAGGAAACCGAGGTCCGAAGAGGTTACTTGACTTACTCAAGATCACACAAGTGTCAGAGTTAAGATATGAACCCAGGTCCTCTGCCCCCAGAGTAAGTGCTCTTCCCATGTGCCAACATCCTCTACTTTGAAAAATTGCTATGTTTCCTGGCTTAGGAACAAAGAAGGAGAGCAGGGAATATCTGTGGTAGTAAGTATTCCATTCCCTTTAGGCAACTTCCCACTGGCCTTTGTCTCTGTCTCTCTTTCTTTCCTCACCCTTCCTCCTCTCTTTTTCTCTTCTCCTTCCTCTTACTGTCTCTCTTTCTCTCTCTTCTCTCTCTTTCTCTCTCTCCCCCTTCCTCTCTCTGTTTCTGTCTCTGTCTGTCTCTCTCTTCATTCTCCCTGTCTTTCTGTCTCTTTGTTTCTCTCCCTCCTGGTGTGCTTATGCTTTGTTTATGACTATTCAGAAATCATGGGGAGTAGTGGATGAAGAGTCAGTCTTGAAGTATGGAAGACTTGGGTTCAAGTTTTGCTTCTGATACATGTGGCCTTTGTGATGCTGGAAAAGTCACTTCACTTGTTAGTACCTCTAACCTGCAGAGCAGAACCACTCTGGAGGACCAGAGGCATTGTCCCAACCTGGAGTTCCTGACCCTGATGAAATCCCAAGTCTGGACCAAAACAAAGTAGTCAGATTTTTGTAGGTCCACTGATGGCTCTGTCATTCAAGCTTGGTGGGTAAGTTAGATTCTATCTGAGAAAAGGTATCTCCACAGTGCAATAGGTAAAGCCTGGAAGAAGCTGAAGAACTAGTTAAGATTGACTGTGTGATCTGAGTTATGCCAAGAGAAGCTCTGTCTCTCATAGGGCCAGATCACCTCCCCTGCCGTGTGTTTGTTTGTGTTTCTCTAAAGGGACCATTTTAAAACTCTACATGGTTTGCTAGTTGGATGAGTCTACAGAGGTGGATGTGGTTACTGTGGCATGGGGGGAGGTGGGCAGGGTGGCTTGTTAAACTCATTGGGTGATGACCCAGGGTCTGAGGTGATACTTTGAAGATTATTGATTTTATGTCACTTGTAATGATGTTAGAATTATGGAGAGACAGACAGACAGAGAGAGAGAGACAAAGAGAGAAACAGAGACAGACAGACAGACAGAGAGACAGAGACAGAGAGACAGAGACAGAGAAAGAGACAGAGAGAGAGACAGAGACAGAGAGAGAGAGACAGAGAGACAGAGACAGAGAGAGACAGAGACAGAGACAGAGAGAGACAGAGACAGACAGAGATAGAGAGACAGAGAGAGACACACAAACACAGACACAGGCATACAGAGAAAAAGACAGGAAAACAAATGGATAGTAGCAGAACCGTATGGCAAGTAGATTCAAGAAGCCTGGAGTGAGGAAGGCGAGGGTCCAGCTTCTGTCTCTTTGAGTTCTTAGTTTGGTGATTTGGGGCGGATGATTTAATCTTGCTGAGCTCCAGGCTTCTCTCTAGGAGTTACTTCCTAAGTCAGGGGGCGGTTGTAATCTATAAATAGGCAGCTATAGAGCTGTTTTCTGCTTTTGTAGTCAAATTAAAGTAAGAGATGGAATTTATTTTAACTAAGAATCAATGTTTGCATCATTTTTCAAAAACAAAAAATAAAAACCTCAGGAGTGTGAGTTTAATAAAAGAAAAAAAAAAACTTCTTCCCAATTCAAGCTGTCCAGAAGTGAGATGGGCTGCCTCCCTCAGCAGGTGGTGAGACTCTTTCCTCAGAGGGATTTAAGCAGAAACTGAATGTTTATTTGTTGGGGTTACTGTGCTGTGGATTCTTTTTTAGGTACAGTCTGTATTAGTGTCATAAATTCATAGATAAAGAGATGAAAGCAACTTCCAACGTCATTGAGATGATCCCTCTTCATTTTACAGTTGAAGAAACTTGGTGACCAAAGGTTCAATGACTTGCTCAAGGTCATACAGTACCAAGTGACCAAGTCAGGATTTGGACAGATGTCCTCCAAAACCCTAATATCTCCCTTTGGTGCCTTCTGCCTCAGAGAGTGGAGGAAAAGTACTGCAATATCTTCTTTTTTAAAAAAATTATTTTACTTTTCCTTGCCCTAAAATAGGCGGCAATGAAATGACTCACTGATTAAGAACACTTGTCATCTTGGTCTAAGAATGTTTCAAGGTTCTAGACCCTGGCTGGTTCTCTTTGGGCATTTGCTGAGAATTAAGGACTCAAGGCACTGAATCTGTCCCCAAAGAGTCCCAACAATGGGAGCTGTCCAAAGCGAAACATGCTTGGTTCCCCATCTTTGGAGGTCATGGAGTCAGAATGCCACTTTTTGGCTGTCCTGTAGTGTACATTTCTTTCACATATTGGTTACACTATATCAACAGTTCTCAGCCTTCTTGGACTTAGGAAACATTTACACTCTTGAAAATTATTGAGGATCTCAAAGAGTACTTGTTTACCATGATTTGTATCTATTGATATTTACCACATTAGAAATTAAAATGTCTTAGTATTAGCATTATTATAAGCATCATCATTATAATTAGCATTAATGATTATTAATAATTATTAATAATTATTAATTGCTAATAAGCATTGTGGTGAAAATGGTTTTGACTTTGTGGACGCCTAAAAAGGGTCATGGGGAAGCTAGAGGGCTCAGTGAATAGTACACTGGTGCTGGAGTCAGAAAGACCTTGAGTTCAGAGCCAGCTTCAGATACTTATTAGCCGTGTGACTTTGGGCAAGTCATTTAACCTCTGTTGCCCAGGAGGCATCTAGGTGGCTCAGTGGATAGAGCACTGGGCCTGGAGTCAGGAAGACCTGAGTTCAAATCTGGCTTCAGACACTTACTAGCTGTGTGACCTTGGACAAGTCACCTACCTTCTGTTTGCCTTAATCCACTGGAGAAGAATGTGGCAAACCACTCCAGCATCTTTGCCAAGAGAACTTCAGGAACAGTGTGGTCCACTGAGGAGTGGGCCATGATTGAATTGACTGAATAACAACAAGCACAACAAAAGGGTCTCAAGATATCCCAGATGGCACTTGGAGAATAACTGCACTAGTTGGCGGCTGATGTCCACTGATAATCTCCCACTTCTCAGACTTTGCTCTCATTTTGCTCTACGAGCCTAAGCTAACTCTTGTCAAGGACAACATTTGACTTAAAGATTTTGTTTGTTTTTCTTTTAAATTAGGCAGGACTGAACAATGAGCAGTCATTGGTTCGGTTACAAGATGAATTGAAATTTGACACGCTTCTCCTATCGGGCAGCACCTGCCAGGACAGGCGGTGGCCACTTCCTACATCTGTACACACGCTCTCCCTTCTTCTGGGCAGGGCTGAATCAGTGAACAGTTTTTCAGGCAGTGTGTGGTTGAGTGACAGCTGTCCGAGGAGGGCTCCAAGCAGCTCGGACCTTCTTCTGCATGGTGCCTCACGAGGCAGAAACGGAATTCATTTTTTCAGGGAGAAAGAAAAATGCCCTCCCGTAAATGAACGTGAAATGGAAGTTATAGGCAGAGCTTGTAATCTGAGGGAAGGAAGCACCCGGGAAGAAAGAGGAAAATGGGTTTGATTCATTTTCTTTGTTGCTTTTCTTCAGTGAGAGATGAGAGCCTCCGTATCCCCTTGGGCTGCTGGTGAATGGGGAGGGGTGCGGATCATTTAGGAAGGCAGTGCTCCCGTATCTATTGTTGAAACTTCCCACCTGACACTGGCTGTACTTGGGCAGATGTAGAACCAGGGTCAGGGGATGCGACAGGAGGAGGGGGAGGAAAGGGAATAGAGAGGGGGATCTAGATTGGATGTCAAGAAAATCTTCTTGTCAATTAGTTTTTTGCCCAGAGTGGAATGGAATCCTTAGGAAGTAGGGGGGTGGGTGCTTCCCTATGCTGGAAGTCTTCAAGTAAAGGCTAGATGTCCACTGTCTATAATCAGAATTCTTGTTCAAGTACATAACCTAGATTCAATTCAGTTCAAGCATTTATCCAAACAGTGAATATTTATTAAATATCTATTGTGTGTCAAGCACTGTCTAAGCACTAGGGATACAAAAGAAAAAAACAAAAACAGTCCCTGT